ATTTAGGGTTGTTATTGATAAGTATTGCTTTACTCCTGTCATTATATTGCTTTTTGTTTAGGTGTTTTAAATATCATTTGTTTCTTTTTTCCCCTTTTATTTTTCCTCTCCAGTGTTAGTTGGATTTTTGAGGTGACATGATTTAGCTTCTTTCTTTTCCTCATTTGCATTTTGGTTTTAATGGTGGGTTTTGCTCTTTCTCGTAAATCTGTGACAGTGATTATCCTTTTTCAAATTCCAGATGCAGGACTCCTTTGAGAATTTCTTGCAAGGCTGGTTGTGTGGTAGTAAACTCCCATAATTTTTGTTTGTCTGGGAAATACTCTATTTCTCCTCATTTCTGAAGGATAACCTTGCTGAGTATGGAATTTTTGGCTGGCAGTTTTTTTCTTTTAGTATTTTGAATATACCATCCCGTTTTCTTCTGGCCTGTAAGGTTTCAGTTGAGAAGTCTGCTGTTAGTCTGGTGGGGGCTCTCTTATAGATGACTTTTTTGATGCTTTTCTTTTGCTGCTTTTAGAATTCTCTCTTTGTCTTTGAGTTTTGCCAGTTTGAATATAATGTGTCTTGAAGAGGATCTTTTTGGATTGAATCTGTTTGGGGATCCTGGCTCTGAAGGTCTGCATCTCTCCCTATACCTGGGAAGTTTTCTGTTATTAGTTCCTTTAATAGGTTTTCAATGCCTTTTCCTTTCTCTTCCTCTTCTGGAATACCCATAATTTGGATTTTTGTGCCCCTAAGGTATCTGCTAGCTCTCTTAAATTTTCTTCATTTTTCTTAATTCTTTTTTCCTTTTTTTTGTCTGCCTGGGTTATTTTAGAAAGACCATCTTCGAGGTCTGAAATTCTTTCTTCTGTTTGCTCCAGCCTGGTGCTCAAGGTTTCTGTTCTGTATTTTATTTCATTGAGTGAATCCTTCATTTCTAGGAGTTCTGCTACATTCTTTTTTAAGGTATTAATCTCTTTGTAAATTTCCCCCTCCATACTCTGGATATTTTTCTTGTTTCATTGCGTTCTCTAATTGATTCTTCTCTTATTTCTTTGAGTTCTCTTAATATCAGTGCTCAGAATTCCTTTTCAGACATGTCAAGGGTTTCCTGCTCTGTGGGGTCTGGTACTTGAGAATTACCATATTCCTTTGGTGCTTTCATACTTCTTGTTTATTTGTACTTCTAGTATTTTTTCATTGATGTTTTGTCATCTGGTAGGACACTTGTTTCTTCTATTACTCTGAAGTGGGCTATGAGGGGAAAGACTTCCTCTGCTATTTGTAGGCTCTGCTGGTGACTCTTCTTGTATCAGTGCAGTTGAGTGTGTGGTGGGTGCCTTGTCTCCTGTTTGGTCAGTAGGCGGGCCCCTCCGGGGCCCAGACAGGCCTACAGCTGCATTGGGGGTTGGTGCGTGGGACCTGTGACCTGGGTGCCCACTCTGTCAGTGGGCAGGCCCTTCCGGCGAGGTTAAGATACTTGGTTTACAGAATCAGGGCTGGGTTGTGGGTGACCCATATGGGTTAGAGACATATTAGGTTAAACATTACAAGTAGAGGTATAGCCCATGGTTAGGAATGAAATTGGGTTGGTTAGGAGAAGGATTAAATTTGAGGGTTAGGATGGAGTGTTAGAGGTAGTGTGAATATTATGTTTCAATTTAGGATTTCAGTGAGCTAGATTTGGGCTGGTTTTGAATTAGATCCAGGTCAAGGCATCCCTTTTAGCTGTGAGAAACAGCTGATGGGAGTAAACATGTTTATTGTATAGAAGAGGAAACTTGGAGTCATAATAGTTATCTTCAAATACTTGAAAGTCTGTTAGGTAAAAGAGGAATTCAGCCCATTCTAAGCTGTTCCAGAAAGCATAATTAGAATTTATTTATTCATTCAACTAAATTTTTTAAACACCTACTGTGTCAAGCACTCTGCTGATTTTAGATTAAGAAGAAGGACTGGCCCGTGGCTCACTCAGGAGAGTGCGGTGCTGATAACACCAAGGCCATGGGTTCGGATCCTATATAGGGATGGCCGGTTCGCTCACTGGCTGAGTGTGGTGCTGACAACACCAAGCCCAAGGGTTAAGATCCCCTTACCGGTCATCTTTAAAAAAAAAAAAAAAGAAGAAGAAGAAGAAATTAGAGGGAGTGACATAAGCTTCTAACAGTTAAGCTTCCTAAAAATGAAATACACTCTGAGATAGTGAGTTGTCTATTCTCTATTTAAGCAGAGGTCGAACTACTTCTTATCTTGAATAGTGTAGAGAAGTTTTAAGTATTATACAAGAAATTGGACAAGATAATCGCTAAGATCTTTTTAAATTCTGTGATTGAGAGAATAAGACAGGCCAGTGACATGGTTTGCTTCTCCCTGGTATAATTTATAGTTTAGATGAGATTGAGTACATTTTTTGTCAATGTTCATAATAATTTACAATTTTTATTGTGTTTTAGGGTTTTCAAAGCACTTTATATTCAGCATTTGATCTTTAAAATAACACTTGTGTAGGGCAGATGAGGCTACTAACGCTGCAAAGAAATGTGCCTTGCCCTATGCCACAGGGCGAATGAATGGCAGATTTGGGACTAAGACCCAAATTTCTGACTTTCAATTTAATGGGATTCTGAAGGCCATTTCTTCTGGAAGCTTAACCAGTTTATAATGGGTTCATAGGAAATATTAAAATTTAATTCAGGTTTTCATGTGCTCCATAGGATATCCCCTTACTCAGTCTCCCCCTGAGAATCCTCATTCTTCCTAGATAGTGAGGGAGATTCCTTGGGCACAAAATCTTGTTGGAAAATAAAATTTGGTAATAGGACCCAGGAATCTTGCCTCTCTGCTTGGTATCTGTTATCTACATCCTGGCGACCAAAGAGTGAGTATCCGTGCCCTATCCTATCACCCTGGGTTAGGAAAGAATTGCCAAGAGGGGTCGGAAACTCGTGGACTATGACAGTGCCCGACACCACCTGGAGGCAGTACAGAATGCCAAGAAGAAAGATGAGGCCAAGACTACCAAGGTAAAAAACAAAACATAACAACAACCTGGTAAAACCTTCCTGCTCTCTCTCTCCCCATAGCGGTAGCAGGTGGCTGGGCCAAAGTGGATATAGGAAATAGTAAATTCAGCATCCAGTGTCCTGAAGGAAATCCTGTTTCCTCTGACACTCATGCTGTAAGGACAGTCATAGTCTTAAGGCTGGGGAAGGCATGGGTCTGGGGAAGGATAGGCATGGCTCCAAGTAAGCCTAGTCTCTGGTAAAATGCAGAGGAAACAGGAGACAGCCTCTAGCTTTGGGTTCAGGATTGAGGGAGATTGTCTTGTTTCTTTTATCACGTAGGCAGAGGAAGAATTCAACAAAGCCCAGATTGTGTTTGAAGATATGAACCAAGAACTACTGGAGGAGCTACCTGTTCTTTATAACAGGTAATGACTGAGATTCAGGTTAATGATTGAGATTCAGCAAAGGGCTGGCCTCCTGGGCCAGTGAAAGCACAGGCTATCTGGCAGCCAAAATATGTCACCTCATGAAAACAGCACTGGTCCAACAGTGGAATGTAGCATCAACCCTGCCAGTAACCTCCTGTGTGATAATAGGCAAGCCACCTTAACTCTCTAGACCTTTATTTCTTCATCTACAATACAGAGATTACCGTGCCAGCTTTTCTGGGTTTAAAGACAAGATGCTTCTTAGGTAGGAAAGATCTTGGCAAGTAAAGTGCTGTCATCATGCATGCTAGGAGTATCTGCTTTCATGCTCAGGCGTGTATTGTATTAAACAAACTTGGTTTGTAAATATCCAGATTTGCATAGAAGGTAAACTGTGGGATGACTATTTGTTTTAATGAAGGTGTCTTTGCTTCACAGTAGATAAAAGTGTCTTAGATTTAAATTTTCCATATTGGAAGAGAAATCTGAGCAGAAATTCCATTTGTATCCTATTTTCATTGTATAAGTCATGCTTTAATACAATTGTAGTCAGAATATTTTGTATTGTCACTTAAAATTAGTCTATGTATGGTGGAGCCTTTTTAATGAGTACATGTATTCTAAAACATTGCTTATATGACTGCTAACTTAAATAGAATTGAAATTTAATACAGTTTCTTTAAATGTGAACTTCCCCAGTTCATATATACGAGAATCCCATTAATGTACATACTGCCATAGAATTCCTTTATTACATAAAGAGAAAGAATAACTAACTACTTACTAAAATAATTATAATTATATGGCCGTATACTTAAATAGCCCTTTAAAAAAAATTCTTCAAAGCACTTTCACATCTATTTCAATACCTCAAGAGCCCTAATCAGATAATTTCATGAAACCAGATATTTGTTAACCTTTGGTGTCAGCCTGGGCTGATATTGTCTTCCTTGGCCTTCCTGCTCCTTAGATTTAGGTGTGCTCCTGGCCCAGCTCTGATGAATCTAAATCCCAGAACATCCTGAGTCTAGGCTGTGCCTTTCTCTGAGGAGGATTTGGTGGTAGCTGGTTTTGGCTTAAACTCCTACCTTGTACTTCAAACAGAGACATCCTTTACTATTCTTTACCTGTATGTGTTTGTTTTCTTTGCTAATAGTCGTATTGGCTGTTATGTGACCATCTTCCAGAACATTTCCAACTTGAGGGATGTCTTCTACAGGGAGATGAGCAAGGTGAGAAACATCTTGCATTTGAGACTCTTAGGTGGGTTTTTCTAGTAAATATGAAGGTAGCTCTGGTTTATATTACTTCTTTAAATATCCATATTGGGGGCCGGCCTGTGGCTCACTTGGGAGAGTGTGGTGCTGATAACACCAAGACCACGGGTTCGGTTCCCATGTAGGGATGGCCGGTTAGCTCGCTGGGTGAGCGTGGTGATGACAACACCAAGTCAAGGGTTAAGATCCACTTACCGGTCATCTTTAAAAAAAAAAAAAAAATTAAAATAAAGAAATATCCATATTGGCACCGTAGATTTTGACTTATATCTCATGATAATTAAAATAAATAAATATCCATATTGGCACCGTAGATTTTGACTTATATCTCATGATAAAATAATAGCACTTGATTGACTGTGTTGAGCTATATTAAAGCACACATGAGGGTACTTGAAAAAGTTTGTGGAAAAATGCAATTAAAAGATAATACGAGGGCCGGCCCAGTGGCGCACTGGATAGTGCGCCGCTTGGGAAGCGCGGCGGCGCTCCCGCCCGAGGGTTCGGATCCCACATACAGACCGGTTCCCGCTCACTGGCTGAGCGAGGCGTGGGAGCAGCACCGAGGGTTGCGATCCCGTTGCCAGTCCCTGGTCCGGTACGGGGGCAACACTGAGGGTTGCGATCCGTTGCCGGACACGGAAAAAGACAAAAGACAAAAAAAAAAAAAAAGATAATACGAATCTTTCCATGAACTTTTTGAAGACCCCTTGTATATACACTATCAAAGGGCCCTCTCCATCTCCATAAGCAACTGAATAAGAGCATTCAAACTTGAGCTTCACCATGATTGAAGGAGGTTAGGTCAATGGAAGGAAAAATTAAATGAGAAATAAGTTGTGAAATCTCTCTCTTGTTGCTGGGGAGCAGAGAGGGCAGTGTTTAAGCACAAGTCACTTTCTCAGATTGTTGGTCTTGAATAGGACCAGTTCTGTCAGTGACAGGCAGCTATATAACTTGACCTAATGGGGTATGTTCTAGTCCTAGGATTTCATGATTCTTTGCTCCTACAATATTATATTTGCACACAGCCACACATATTACTCTCCACAGTTTCTTTGGCTAAATTATGATTTGCCTAGTTAATATTAAAATGAGTTTTTATTCCCTGGATCACCTGAGAGAAGCTAGAACCTCAAATTGCACATCAGTTATGGACTCTCCCTTGAGAAATCTGCCAGTCTGATGGAAGAGTTAGAACTTAGGACACAGAGAGACAAGAAAGAAGGAGTGGCAGGACAGGACCCTGGATGCTACTGCTAGAGAGATCAGAAGGAATTCCAGATCAGAGTTGAACGAGGAGCTTTTATTATGGGAAGCTGTCTGAAGGAGAGGAGAAAAGGGATATGCCAGTCTTGGATTCTCATTTGGCTAGCATTCCCTTCTTTCTTGCTGGCTCTAGCTGAACAACAGTCTCTACGAGGTGATGGGCAAACTGGAGAAGCAACATTCCAACAAAGTCTTTGTGGTGAAGGGACTATCAAGGTGAGCAACTTCTGAAACTCTTCTGCTTTGCTTGTCCTGTGTGTAAACATTTTCAACATCCTTTTCTCCAGTCCAAAATCCTGGCCTTTCCCTTATATTCATGTATATCATGTTGTTTGTTGATTGTTCTATGCTCCTATATAAATTATTTTTCTTTACTAAAGGCATAAAGAGTAATACAATAAATAGCCATATACCTACCACCAAATTTAAGAAATCAACTATTGTAAATATATAGTTGAAGCTCCCAATGTACCTCCCCTACTCACTTTCTCTTCCTGCCCCCACCAGCGGCAACCACTATGTTAACTTTAGTATTTATTACTTCCATATATGTCTTTTTACTTTTACTTCGCACACACATGCACATATAAAATGTTATTTTGCATGTTTTTAAACTTTATATAAATGGACTTACACTTTATGTGTTCTGCTGCAACTTCTTTTGTTCTCTTAGTATTGTGAGATGTATCCTTGTTACATGTTGCTAGCACTGCTCTTTCCTTTCCATAACTGGTATAGATGCTATTGTATGCCTACATCACGATGTAGTTATCAAGGCTCCTGCTAATGAGCATTTGGGTTGTTTTCCAGTTGTTTTTTTTTTTTTTTTTTTTTTTTTTATGCTAGCACTGCTCTTTCCTTTCCATAACTGGTATAGATGCTATTGTATGCCTACATCACGATGTAGTTATCAAGGCTCCTGCTAATGAGCATTTGGGTTGTTTTCCAGTTGTTTTTTTTTTTTTTTTTTGTCTTTTTCTGTGTCCGGCAACGGATCGCAACCCCCAGTGTCACCCCCGCACCGGACCGGGACCGGCAACGGGATCGCAACCCTCGGTGTTGCTCCCGTGCCTCGCTCAGCCAGTGAGCGGGAACCGGTCTGTATGTGGGATCCGAACCCTCGGGCGGGAGCGCCGCCGCGCTTCCCAAGCGGCGCACTATAGCAGTGCGCCACCGGGCCGGCCCTCCAGTTTTTTCTATTACAAATAATGTTTCAATAAACATGTTTTACATTTCTCCTTGTGAACGTTACCAAGAGTTTCTTTAGGGTGGAATTGCTGAGTCATAGCGTCTGTCACTGGAGCTTCTTCAGCCTTACTAGATATTGCCAAACTGCTCTCTAAAGTGAGTGTTCTGTTTTACAACCCACCAGCAGTGAATAAGAGCCCTCATGGCTCCGCATTCTTGCTACATGTGAAATTGTCAGACTTAATTCTTCCAAGTGCATGGGTATGAAATGGAATTTTCTGCAGTTTTTAGTCATAGCTCCACAATTGGTAGTTACTTTGAGCATCTTTTCACATTATTGGCCATTTAAGGGTCCTGTTCTGTGACTTTCCTATGTACCCTTTTCTTATTCTTTTTTTTTTTTTTTTTTTTTTTTTGGGGGGGGGGGGTATGTACCCTTTTCTTATTCTTTTTTTTTTTTTTTGGGGGGGGGGGGTATGTACCCTTTTCTTATTCTTTTTTTTTTTTTTTGGGGGGGGGGGGTATGTACCCTTTTCTTATTCTTTTTTTTTTTTTTTGGGGGGGGGGGGTATGTACCCTTTTCTTATTCTTTTTTTTTTTTTTTGCGGGTGGTGGCTGGCTGGTACAGGGATTGAATCCTGGACCTTGGTGTTATCAGCACCATGCTCTGACCAACTGAGCTAACCGATCAGCCCTTTCTCCCATTTTTCAATTGGGTGGCTAACCCTTTTTAAAAAATTGATTTAACTGAGGTTTTTATTGTTGTTTGGTTTGTTGGTTTGCTTATTTGTTTGTTTTTTGGTACATCTGGATACTAATACTTTAACTATATGCATTGCAAATATCTTTACCAAATCTGTTATGGCTTGCTTTTTCTACATTTTTGTGTGTTGTCTTTTGCCTTCATACTGGTAAGTATAAGCAATTCACTGGTCCCTCAGAATGTGACTGCTTGCTCATTATGAAGCCTTTGTAGGAAGTTTTATTAAGCTCCTTCTATGCACAAGGCTTATGGTGAGTGTTAGGGATCCAAAGACACAGGAAACTTGTCCTTTCCCTATAGTGATTTACAAAAGTTGGAAGTATAGAAAATGTGTCTGAGGAGACAGGAATGTTATAAGCTTGCACATTACTTAATGCCTAATGAGACCAGTAGGAATTCCAGAGAGGTAAGTAATTGTCAACGTGTGGATGTTTAGGGAAAGCTTTAAGGAGGTGGTGAAACTGAGCTTGGGACTTGAAGGAAGAATAAGGCTCACATTTGTTGTTTGTACTACTCATTTAGAAATTAGTTACAGACTCTCAAAAAAAATCACTAATGGGCCAGTGTAGACTTCCTAGACAAGTTTCCTTTTGCTCCTGATGCCCTATTTCTCTTTATTTCTCCTCTTTCCCCACATTGAAAACCAGAGTTCTCTAACTATCCATTCTTCCCAAACCATCAATCATTTACACGGAGATGTGCCAGAACCTTGTAGGGAAATCTGGTTTTTTCTTGCTGTATCCTGAGCCTTCTAAACTTAATGACTCATAGAATGCTAGTGCTAGAAAGAACTTTGTGTCACACAGCTTATCCCACATCAGAAACTCCCCTAGGGCAAAAACTAAGTTTCTCTCCTCTTCCTTCTATCCCCATCTGGGTTGCTTAATCAGCGGGTGGAGAGTATTTAGGGAGGCATTTGAGGTGAAGTAGGAATCAAGCTGATGTGGGCTGTAGAAGGACTCAGTGCAGTATCCAGCACATAGCAGGTACCCAATAAATGCTACAGTTTATTCATGTTATTTGTGGTAGTCATGTTCTGTGAAGTTGCCACTAACTTAATACTGAACCATTGCTCCTAGGAGAAATGCAGGTTTAGGTTCCTGTGAGTCTCTGGTCACATAATTTTCATCAATCAACCAATACATAGCCTTGTTTTATGTGTTTCTGTTTAAAGATACCTTATTTTATAAAAATTGTTGATTTATTAGTAGTGAACTCAAAACCAACAGCACTGTAACTCATGCCTGAATGAAGCTTACCTAACACACATATTTTCTCTATAAGGCACATTACAGTCTTCTTGCACTTAGACAGCACTTCAGCCATTTTAAATATCAAAATCATCAACAAAAAAGCACATAAAATTGAACAACATGGCGAAAAGGACACTTATGTACAGTATGAGAGCTGAAACAAGAAGACAGATCATTGCCTTGTTAGATCTCAGCTGGGAAATTGCATGTTAGGCAACTTATTTTACACCATTTGTACATATCCACAAATGACTGAGAAAGTGCCACCAGAATTGATTTGGAGGTACAAATAAATAGATACGTGAATTTGCAAATATGGAATCTGTGTGGATCAATGGTGTATCAATCAATCTTTTCCCCAGAGGAAATATTCGTTAATATTTTGCTGTTTCTTTTTAGTCTCTTTTTCTTTAAATATTTTTACATTACATAATTGAGATCATATTATAGATAACATTCCCTTTTTTCACTTCACTTTATATCGTAATTGTTATTGGAAATTTTTTTTTGGCAGCTGGCTGGTACAGGGATCAAACCCTGGACCTTGGTGTTATCTGCACCATACTCTAACCAACTGAGCTAACCATCCAGCCCCTTTTATTGCAAATTACATAAACTTTCTTTTTTTTTTTTTTTTTTTTTTTTTTTAAAAAATGACCGGTAAGGGGCATATCAAATTCAAATTATATGGACAGGTTATCACATACAAGAGAGATTTGACTTGTTCTGTGAGACTTGAGGGGACAGAACTAGGCCCTATGTATAAAGATTTTTTTTAAAAAAAGGTACATTTTGGATCAATGCAAGAGGAATTTTCAACAATTAGCTCTGTTTTAAAAATGGGGTGGAAAAAACTTCAGAAAAAAATACGGGGGAAGGAAGGGGGCACAAGGGGCTGACAGAAAACGAAATGAGGCTGGCCACTTATCTCAGTTGGCTAGAGTGTGGTGTCGATAACACCAAGGTCCAGGGTTCAATCCCTGTTACCAACCAGCCGCCAAAAATTAAAAAAAAAAAAAAAAAAGAGAGATGGGCCATCTCAAGAAATAGTTCTTCTTCCTTGCTGTTAAGAGCTAATGATATATAATCTCTGGTCAGGTGCATTGTAGAGAGGATTATGGTGAGATGTCTAACTAGATGGCACCAAGATAAATTACATAAACTTTCTAACATTCTCAATTGCTTTATTGTTTTATTATTACAATACATGCATCATAATTTATTTTTGGATATTTAGGTTACCTCCAGTTTTTAAGTCTTCTAAATCTGAATGTCCTTCCTTTGTTAGCAGCAGCAGGCGCTCTTTAGTCATCTCTCCCCCAATTCGAAAATCAACAGTCTCTAGCCCCTCACCTACCAGTCCCTCTGCACTTTCCTTGAAGAGTGAGAGTGAATCTATCTCAGGAACTGAAGAGCTGACACCTGATGCAGCCCAGGGAGAAGACAATTCTGAGATCAAAGAAGAGCCCTTAAAAGATGAGGAAACAGAAGCAGAAGGGTCTGAAATAAGCTCTTCTGAGGAAGAAGAGCTCCTACCAGACTGCAATGGCACAGCCCAGGCACAGCCCTCTCCTATCACTGAGGGTGGCAAGTCCCAGGAGGAAGATTCCCCTTGCTCACCAGCTCCAACACCAGACAGAGCACTAACACCTTCAGAGCAGCCTTCATCATCTCTCCCAGAAGTAGTTCTCCGAACCCACACCTCAAGGGAAGGATCTGAGCAACCAAAGAAAGCCTCTTTCCAGAGGAAGTCAGCACCCCCTAGTAGGCCTCCTCCACCCAGAGCCACTTCAAGCCCCAGGCCCTCTTCAGGATACATACCCTCTAGCCTTCCAACCTCTGGAGGGGGTTCACCCACCAGTCCCAGGGCCTTGTTGGGGAGTGGGACTCCAAGTCCTAGGGCTTCCTTAGAGGCCTCTCCTGATCCAGAACTACCAGAGAAGCCAGTAAGAACTCCTGAGGCCAGAGAAAATGAAGACACCCACAATCTGAACCCAGAAGAATTTTGTGCTTCCCCCACCTTGATGATCTCTCAGGTAAGAATGGATCTGGTTGGGTCTTTATTTCCTTTTATAACCTCCATGTAAATCATCTTTACTATAGTCATGTTGCCCCACCGTTAATAAGATGTCATTACATTATAGTCTCAAGAATATCCTTGAACACCTTTTTTGGTTCTGGGGATTATTTCATGTCTTCATAGTAATTAATTTAGTAATCTACTCTTAGGATAATTGACTTCTCAAAGGGCTTATTTCTAATATTATTATGAGCAGATTCTTACTAATTTCTTCCTTTTGCTCCAAGTTCTGGAAGTTCCCAATATGCAGAACCTACAACTGGAATCCTGAGCTTTGTCTTTTTTAATTGGGGGGAAGGGGAGGGTCTCACTTCAGTTTATCATACCTTTGACTATGGTAAATAGACCCTGAAAAAAATGGCAGCAAATTTTCAGGGTGTACCTCTTTGATAAGAAAGACCTAGAAGCAGGAACTCACAGAGGGAGGTAGAGCAAAAGATGTGGCCTTTTGAAAGGTGAGAATATAGATGAAAAAAAATTGAGAGATATTAACCCACTGTAGAAGGGCTAGTTCTGTGAAGGATCTGGAAATCAAATCATATCAAATTCAAATTATATGGACAGGTTATCACATACAAGAGAGATTTGACTTGTTCTGTGAGACTTGAGGGGACAGAACTAGGCCCTATGTATAAAGATTTTTTTTAAAAAAAGGTACATTTTGGATCAATGCAAGAGGAATTTTCAACAATTAGCTCTGTTTTAAAAATGGGGTGGAAAAAACTTCAGAAAAAAATACGGGGGAAGGAAGGGGGCACAAGGGGCTGACAGAAAACGAAATGAGGCTGGCCACTTATCTCAGTTGGCTAGAGTGTGGTGTCGATAACACCAAGGTCCAGGGTTCAATCCCTGTTACCAACCAGCCGCCAAAAATTAAAAAAAAAAAAAAAAAAGAGAGATGGGCCATCTCAAGAAATAGTTCTTCTTCCTTGCTGTTAAGAGCTAATGATATATAATCTCTGGTCAGGTGCATTGTAGAGAGGATTATGGTGAGATGTCTAACTAGATGGCACCAAGATTCATTCATTTACTCCACAATTACTTACTGAGCCCCTACTGTGTGCCAGGTACTTTTCTAGGAAGTGGGTTATGACAGTGAACAAAGCACAAAATTCCCTGCCTTCCTGCAGCTAGGGGGGTAAGGCAGTCAAGAAAAAAAATAATCCAGTGGTAAGAAAAATGAAGAAAAATTAAGTAGAGGAAGGCACAGGGAGTAGGGGCTGAACTGCACTTTAAAACAGTGATCAGAGAACGTAACTTAGGCAATGAAGAAGGCCAGGACAGGAGCCATGTGGATATCCGGGAGAAGAGTATGAGATATCTGGTTCTAATCACACCACCCTACTACTGCCTATGCCTAACTGAAGGTTGACCAGCTACCTTGGGAGCCTTCTGCTACTTGAGTGGAGATAACATGGACAAAGGGTACAAGGGCAGAGACCAGGGCACGAAGATGTGGACTTTCTCTTGCATTGTTCATTTTGATCCACAGGTTCTTTCAGAGCCCGGACAGGCAAAGCAGATGGAAGACAAGGAAGAAAACAATAAGCTTATCTCAGCCGACTTCCCTGAGGTACTAAAATCTAAGTCCTCAGCATTATTATGCTCTCAGTCTTAATTCACATGAAGCATCAAAGGCCCTAATAAGGAAATATATAAAATTTTCCCTTGGCTGGTTTCTAGCCTGAGGTAGGTATGCTGATTGAGAGAGATTTGTAGGACATGTGGACAGTGTTAAGCACAGGGTAAATGCAGGATTTTGAGCAGTCAAAGTGTAATCACTTCTCATTTTTCTGCACTGAAAAGAGCAACTTGATGGTATGGAAAATCCAAAATTAATTTCAATTTGACTTGTATTATATGGTTTTAGTTATGGAGAAAGTGATAAGGTGACCTTCTCTTTGACTCTGGTGAATAATAAAACAAGCTTGCATTCTTGGAGTAATCTTATTGAAAGGGAGATGATTATGGGGGTCAAGATGCTGTCTGATCATTTTGAGGAACAGGCTGGTCACACTGTCCTCCCTGGAAAAGAGGTACAGGACACAACCTCCTCTGCTGAGGCTGTCTCCTTATGTTTGAGATTTATAACACTGCCTTACTCCCAGCTGTCTCGTGGAATTGCTTTGGTCATCAGCTAAGGATATGAGTATTTTCCAGTGGAATTAAACAACTGAAGCTCTTAGATCCTAGCCTATCAGTGTTTCCAGTCCTCTAAAGCCTGTGTCCTACAAGATATGCTCACTTCCCTTGCAGATGCATTATAAATCATATTTTCTCTCAAGCAGAATTATAGACATACCATGTGTAAAAATGGATAAATAAAAATATAACTGGGAAAAAAAAAATCTGTTCTTGCTCAGCATGTGAATCATGAGAGAGAGAGAGAAGGAAGGTTTTGATAACTCTGGAAAGTGATACTACCTTTGAGCTAATTCATGGCCTGGAAAGGGCGGAGGGAGTAAGAAGAAGGAAGATATCCTTAAAGGAGAAGTCATAGAATTTTAAGTAGATGTCACACTGTTAGAAACTGATTCTACTTTAAAAGGATTAATTTTATAGTGTGTGAATTAAATTTCAACTAGAAAAATTAATTTGTTTTAAAACTTAAGAATTCCAGAGTCTTCCTCTGGTATAGCAGTTGTTAGACATGGCTTTCTATACCTTGGGTTCCCACCTCAGAACCTCGAACTTTTCCCAAAGAAACCATTATACTATTTGCGTCTCCTAACTGCTGGTCATGAATTAGAATCACTTAAGTGTGAGGGCTGCATTCTTGAGGAAGGTTAGTCTAAAAGTGGTAGGTAGTAGTTTTAAGACCTATATTTATACCCTCACACTTCCACGTAGATATACATACAAACGCATGTCACACAAATCACACAGTGTCTGATCCTAGAAACAACTCTGGAGTCCAAAGACCTGGTTTCCGGACCCAGCAAGTAATTTCACCCTTTGAATGTTGGTTTCTTCATCTGTAGAAAAGGATGGAGTAAAGCCTTTCCTGATGCCTTCGGGCTCTAGTGAAACAACATTGTGTGTTGCCCTTTGTATTGTATATGACCCTTGTAAAGTATAAGGCACAGAAGATCCTTCTAAGCTGAGAGGCAGGGGAGGTTGAGCCACCTCTCACTGGCAGAACTCTTCTCTTTGTAGGGCCAAGGCCTTCAGCTTCATGTCTCTGTGGTTCCAGGAGAGAGCAACCTCACAGCACCTGAGTCTCAAGAAGAGGTAAGGAGACCAGATATACAGAGAACAGTGTGGGTGATAAGATTGGGCATGGGATTTCTCTTCGAAATAATACGTTTGGGATATCAGATAGACTTATTAGAATATACAAGACATACAATATAACAAAAAGTGTTGCAGTAAACCCTAAAGAAATTACATCTAAAGGGCTTTGTTGAACTTGTTTATACTGAAGATTATCCAAACAAATTGTCATAGTTTTGGTGTATCATATTACTGATTTTCTATTTGTAAAGGATTATAAGTTGTATAAAATACAAATTCCTAAACTGGATCACAAAACTGGTTTCCTTTTTATGCTGTTAATTAAGAGTCGTGCTATAAAGTCTCATAAAATATTATCTATACCTGAAAAAAAAAATAGATTGGGCATGGAATTGACAGTTTTGGCTGCAGGCTGGACTCTTCACTGTGGGCTACAAGTATAAGGGGAATCCAGCAGTGAATGATACCCTTAGGGCAAAGACAAGCAGGTGGGAACCAAAGGAACCAAGAATGATCTGGGATTTTATGGTGTCTTTTTGTCCATTTCCCAATCCTTGGCCTTAAACTAGCCCTGTTTCCATAGTATTTACTTAATTATATCTGTACTTATTTCAAAAGGGAGTTAACAGAGTTAAGATATACAAAAAAGCATACAAAAAGGTCACATATTGTATATATAATATACTTACATACACACACTCACACAATATAGCAAAGTAACTCAGAAGCATGCGAGAGAGGACAGTGACGTAAAACGGAGCCATGAATTAGGAAAGTACAAAAAATGCATTCTATAAAATAAACTTACTAAAGATGGACCATAAAATTGGTTCTAGACTTTCTAACATCCAAGAAAAAGAGAAAAACCTGATCAGTTCACCCAGTTCATGATATACATTGCTTAAGAGAACAACTGCTCCTCCTAAGATGAAAAAGAAAATTTTCCCATGAATCGTCACAAAGAGATTAGCAGGTGATGTAATGAACAATATGTGCAATAAGTCCTTACTCTAATTCCAACAACCAATTTTTTATCACCTCCCTCAATAAAGACCAGTGGCATTACATGAAATACAATTCAATAGAAACAAATTGAATTTTTAACTTCCTTGAGTGGTTAGTGGGTGAGCAGGTCAGCATCTAATGCAGTCATGTTTACTTTTCAGGTATCTACAAGTCACAATGCACAACTCTGAAGAGAAACTGCCAAGACCCTCCCACCCACACACCTCCCCAGAGAAGCTCCTCGGCCAGAGGGTAGTGGTCAGAGAGATATAAGAGCCATCATTCATTTCTAGGTTCTCAGACAATATGAATGCTGGTGGTCTCTAAAGACCTGGCACTGATGGAGGCTGAGGAGCAGCCTTATGGGAGGGAAGGAGGCAGGCAGGCTTGGAAAAAGAGAGTGTTAGACTCAGGGAATATTTAATTTAGGTTTTAACGTTGTTAGAAGAGTAATATTTTATATATTAATTACCATGGGGCTATAATGACTATAAAAACAAAGTTCCTATAGACACAGACACTTGTTCACACAGAGACACATAAACACACATACTCAGAGGATAGTAAACAAGTCTTTGACTTCTCACTCATTTTGCAAGACTTAAAGGCAACAGAACAGATTTTCAGATTGTTAAATAAAGTATGATTTTGACTATGTGTGGATTCTTTGACACAGGGCATTGCTCTAGCCCAGCACACTATTTTACACTTAGGCAAGGTTATGGATTCTGCCACAGGTTCAGAAAGCTTTAGTCTCATCCCTGACCTTCAACTCACCCTACCTCCTGGTTATAATTCTTTCACGGATGCCAGGGGTTACAGGCTCCTCTCCTCAATCCAGATATGTTACTGCATGCCCCACCCTACCCCCCCCAACATTTAGTTAATAAGAAAATACCCTTGGAAAGGGTTACATTTTAGAGCTATATCTAGTGTTTAAAATCTAGGGTACGGTTTGAATGAGGATCTGAATAGGATGGAGGAAAATACTTCAAGTGAAGGGAAAGGAAACAAAGTATAATAATGATATAGTGGAAATGGCACGAAATTTTGAGTCAGAGTCCTGGATTCAATTCCTATCACTTGCTTTCTATGAAAATATTTGTGAAAACATTAAAAAGTAACTCTGAAGTCCTGCCACCTCGATAAACATACGTATACATATAAACATCCTTCCATGTTTGCTCTGTTTTTAGAGGCAATGTCACCATTCATTCAGTCCTTCAGCAAGCATTTACTGAGCACCTACTCTGTGTCAAGCACTGAGTACTAGTACTAGATACTAGAGAAGTGATGAGGAAAAAAAGTAAGATCTTTAAAGAGATAGTGAGAATATTAACGAGGGAGGAGTATGGGCAGGATTTAGTGACGAGTTAGAAGGGGACACATGATAAAGACCGAGGTTTTAAGAAATTACTCTATGTTAGACTTGAGAGACTAGAATTTGGTGATTCTATTCCTTGAAACAGTGACTGTAGGAGGAAGTACATTTATGTGGGTTCTCTGGTCACAAGCAACGACCTGAAAAAATGAAGTAATAAAGGATATGGTGGAAGGATATTAGGCAGCTCATAGAACTGAAAGAACAATCAGGCGGCAGGAAGGACAAGAACCAGCCCAGGGATGTCTGTAGCAGGAACTTATGGATTGCCCCTCCAGGCAGCAGCCACTGGAAGACTCAGCTTCAGCCACCTGCTGCTACTGTGTACTCTGCAGACCCAAATTCCCTGGAGAAAGAATCTGGCCCAGTTTGCATGATGTGCCCATCCTGTGGCCAGGGAAATGGGAAACTGTGACTAGCACAATTACCAAGGAAGGAAAGCATGTTGGTGTCTTTAATGACAGGAAGAATTACAAAAAGGCACAAGGAAACCTTTTTTTTTTTTTTTTTGGTTTTTGTCTTTTTCCGTGTCCGGCAACAGATCGCAACCCTCAGTGTTGCCCCCGTACCGGACCGGGGACCGGCAACGGGATTGCAACCCTCGGTGCCGCTCCCGCGCCTCGCAGAAACCGGTCTGTTGTGGGATCCAAACCCTCGGGCGGGAGCGCCGCCACACTTCCCAAGCGGCGCACTTATCCAGTGCGCCACCGGGCCGGCCCCAAGGCACAAGGAAACTTTTGGGGATGATACAAGTGTTCTTAATTTTGATTATGGTAATAGTCTAATGGGCATATACATGTGTCAAAGCTTATCAAATTGTATACTTTATGTACAGTATATTGTAAATCAGTTGTGCCTTGATTAAGCTATAAAAACAAACACTAGGTGTCCCCTGCAAGCATTGGACATGAGTTTGAGGTACTTATAGGACACAGTAGATGTATCCACTAGGAAGCTGGAAATACATGTTTATATTTGGGAGTCATTTTTCTAAAATCTAATCCTGTTACTCTTGTTTAGAAAGAGTAACCTTCAAAGGATCTCTACTCTGTACAGCTGTAATGGGGGGAGGTTGCATGCCCCCCTCGAGAGGAGGGTTGTTTTTCAAAATATAAAAGTCCGGGCCAGCCCGTGGCTCACTCAGGAGAGTGTGGTGCTGATAACACCAAGGCCCCGGGTTCGGATCCCATGTAGGGATGGCCAGTTAGCTCACCGGATGAGCGTGGTGCTGACAACACCAAGTCAAGGGTTAAGATCCCCTTACCGGTCATCTTTAAAAAATAATAATAATAAAAAAAAAAAATTAAAAAAAAAAAAAATATATATATATAAAGTCCTGCTGCCTCTCTTAGTACCTCTCCTAGAAGGCATTCCACTCCCTTGGCATTAAGAATCACTGCTAGGAGTGATACTCCAGGGGTATTGGAAGGGTAGGGGAAATGCTGGGAATACAGGCCCCTAGCTGTACAAGGCCCACTATGATCTGCTTGGAATGCCTCTCCCACAATCATCGTGCAAAGCCCAGTTCAAGCCTTTTTGCTCCAGGGCTTTCTCTGACCCTTATCTCTCCAGGAAACTAATCCTCTTTGGGGAGTGTGCCAGAGAAAATTTACAGGGACTTACAGTCTGGTGGGGGAGAAAAGCAGTAACCGCTACAACAGAGGTACATCTGAAGTGAAAAAATGTACTAAATTGTGAGACTGGCACCCTACTGAAGGCTCCAGAGAGGCAGGGGAAAGGAAGACAGTATACTTATCTAGGGTAGACAGTCCTAGTTGGGAACCCAATTGTTTATCCTGATTTACAAAATGGTAAAGTCCAAGGGAAAGGCTAGGGCTTAGAATACTGCCATCCTGGCAGCAGCACAAGATGGAAGCTGAAAGCCAATAAAATTGGTGATGAATATCTTTGTCCCCCTGCCCCGTGACCCCTGGAGTTCTGTTGACAATCCTTGGAGAACACTGGGAGCTCACAACCACCTGAGGCTTCATTCATCATCTGTCTGTATGCCTCTCTATAAAGGATTTCAAGAGCATCATCCAGTCCCTGCCCTCCACCAAGTTGAAGGATCATATTGCAGACTGGGTGAGACATGCAGAGAACTCTAAAAGCATCACATATCCAGGATTAAGTAGGATACACCAAAGAGCATAATATACACACTGCTTATAACAGTCCTTACTTTATGCCAAATTGGGTCTAAGCATGTGCATATTAGATCCTATTGTTCTGCATGTTTACACTTTTTAAATGAGGTATGTGCCTATAAGAAAAAATCTCATATCAGCAAACCTTTTAAGGTTACGTTTTCTTGTTTTTGGCTTTGGTTTTTTTGGGCAGCTGGCCTGTACAGGGAAATGAACCCTTGATCTCAGTGTCATCAACACTGTGCTCTAACCAGCTGAACTAACTGACCAACCCAAGGTTATGTTTTAAAGAGAAAAAAAGATGCGTGTGAGAGACCATTAACAACTGACAAAATTGTGAAAATGATAGCAAATCAGTAGTCAGCTGAGCCAGATGGCTTCTGAGTCTGTGGTTCTAACAATCTTTAACACATCATAAACTATGCTATGGGGGAGACAGACCCAGACACAAGAAAGATCTCAACTTTTCCTGGAATTCATGGTCAGTTGGTCAGCTAGCCTGAGTAAATGCTAGCAATTGTCCTTTGGAATTTAGCCCTTAGATTTAAATTTCCTTTTATCTGAGGACTAGCTATTCTCTGACCTTTCTTTTATTAACTTATATTTATATTGCCTACATGTCACTTTCTTTGCCTTTCTTGGTTGGATTGGCAGTTTCTCAGACATTGGCTTCTTCCTTACTAGAAATATCATTAGGGCAGGCTGGTTAGCTTGGTTGGTTAGAGTGTGGTGCTGATAACACCAAGGTCCAGGGTTCCATCCCTGTACCGGCCAGCTGCAAAATAAATAAATTGTACATTTAAATAGAATGAATTTCATCAAGTTTTTCTGGGATTTTTTTACCCCTCTTGTTTTTATCAACTAACTTTAGGAATGAAAGCAACTACTCTTACTTTATTTGTGGCCTTGTTTTATTCTCACTGTATGCCTCTCCCTTCTGAGAATTTTTCAGTCTTTGCTGTCCAGATGAACACAAACAATCTGATGATAGCTGTCTTTCTATCAATGTATATGAATATTGATTCTCAAACCGAAGAACTCACACGACTAAGCGGTAAGCACAAAGTCTATCACTGGGCTAGAAGGCAGAATAACCACGAGTTCCAACTCTTAAGTGGATAGCTAAGATAACAATAGCTAGCACTTATTGGGCTAGGGGTTAGTTCAGCTGGTTAGAGCACAGCCTTGGAACACCAAGGTCAGAGGTTCAGATCCCCTTTCCAGCCAGCCGCCAAAAAAGAAAAACCACAAAAAACAATTGCCAGCATTTACCGAGCACTTACTGTGTGCCAGGTAAGGTTCTAATGCTGTATATGTATTATTACATACTATTGCATCCTCTTAGTAAGCTCCGCTGATTAATTTGGGAACATTTCCTGCCACAAAGAAGTGAGTCAAGAGGTAGCTAAAGCATGGCACTGATTAATATTTAAATTGAGGTGCTTACCGTTTTAGAACCCTGGTTATGAAATGGCTTTACAGGCATTATCACTATCATTATCCCCATTTTAGGGATGAGGAAACATTTTAGAAAAAAGTAATTTGCCCAAAGTCACACAGCTAACAAGCAGCCAAACCGGGGCTGTTGGAATCCAAAGTCCACGGCGCTCTAAACCTCTCCACTACACTGCCTCAGATGAAGGTCCAACAAGGAAGATCCGTATGGGGCCGCCTTTCTCTCCCCACCTCACCTCCATGCTTCACGACCCGGGCGTGTGCCTACTAAGTTAGGGACACAGACCTGTTTAAGAAAATGATATGCAAACGCAAGTAAACGAAACTTTCCACTTTTGCTGAAATTCAAATAACATCAACTCCGGAAGAATGAGATGGATCCCAGTTAGCAGGGGTTCAAATCTCATGCCCTCTGGAGCCTCGGGGCGAGGGAGGAAGCGGCTCCGGATGGAGAGTAAAGTGACAATCGGAGAAGGGAAGGCAGCCTTTCCTCCCGCGGGAGCAGAGGCGGCCCGGCGGGCCGAGGGAACCTGCCGAGGGCGGTTTCTCTTCCTGTCCCACCCAGTCGGCGGGTCCCCCCACCCCCACTCCGGCCGGCCTCGGCAGCTAACTCGGCGTCTCCCCGCTGCTTCCTGCGGCTCGGTGCCCTCGGTCGGCCTCTCGCGGCCTCAG